GAAAGGGGGTTACGCCACGTGCGTTTACCCGGGTAGATGCTAAGCCATGCTATAGTCCTAGTCCTCACAACCGCCTCAGGCAAGGAGTTCCACAGGTTCACTGGGCGCTGTGTGAAGAACTTCCTTTTATTTGTTTTAAACCTGCTGCCCATTTATTTCATTTGGTAGCCCCTATTTCTTATATTATGGGAACAAGTAAATAACTTTTCCTTATTCATTTTCTCCACATCACTCCTGATTTTATTGACCTCTATCATATCCCCCCTTAGTCTCCTCTTTTCCAAGCTGAAAAGTCCTAGTCTCTTTAATCTCTCCTCATATGGGCCCCATTCCAAACCCCTAATCATTTTAGTTGCCCTTCTCTGAACCTTTTCTAGTGCTAGTCTATCTTTTTTGTGATGAGGCGACCACATCTGTAAAAAACGATGTAATTCAACGATGGATGTTAGCAGCATGGATCTATAATGAACAGATTTTTACAGCCACAGCTGACAAATTGTTCACGTTGTCTTGGGCTTATGTGTGCTGAAGGGTTTATGCACGTAGATAAATACAAAAGGATTAAGTTGGAAAGAGGTTCCTGGTGTGTCATTGTAAGGCTTGGCCAGAGTAAACATCACCTCGGAGACTCTGCCACCCTCAGAAATGTTAACGAGTAGGTATAACAGGAGATGAGAACGCTGACCAGCTGGAAGAGAAGGCGATACAGCAGACACACAGCTGCAGAATGGCTGCATGAGGGTAGCAGTTGCTTGTACCTGCAGGTGGGAAGGACCAGCAGCTCTTCAAAAGGTATTCTGGTATTGGGAAAAAGGTCCTAGAAAAGTGTGACCCCACTCTGGGGAGATTTGGTCAAATCCAGGCATTCAGAGAGGCATGAGTGTTTCTATATCATAGCCTATGGACTGACCCAAAGCCCATTGTAGGTGTAAACGGGGGAACGTTTCTGGTTTATACATGACCGCGGTGGAATTGGCTGGTGTAAGGATCTGAGTCCCAGCTCCCACTCCCTTTACCCAGAGCCCTGCCCGACTTCGAGGGCTCCCCTTCCACCCTCCTGTGTGGCAGAGTCCTCATAGCCCCAACAAGGCTGGGCCCAGGATTCCTGTGGGCTCGACCCCAACCTTGTCATGGTCACTTAGGACAGGGGCAAGGTTGTCCCCAGTCCGGGGTGCTCTCTCCGCTCTGGACACTTCCCCGACCCACTGATCATTGCACACACTTCAAGCAAATACCATTTATTAACCAGCAATAAATTAAAAAAACTAAGGCAAAACGGGCAAGTTTAAAGGAAAACAACCCCGCTCTGTGACACGGGGACACCACAACCAGCGGCTCTGGAATGTCAGGACAGTTCACTGTTCGTCACCCGTCCGTCCAGGCCCTGGCGGTGCTGCAGGGATGCCGCAGGTCGGACATGGCTTCACGCTCAGGGTAGCAGGACCCTTCTTCCCAGCGTCACCCCCCGCCCCGCCCCACTGGGGTTACGATCCCTCTCCAAGTCTGGCTTGGCTGGGGGGCATCTCCCTGCGCTGGGCCTTCTGCACAGGGTCCCCCTCGCTCTCCCCAGGTGCTCACCACATCCGCATCCGGCTCCGGACGGCTCCAGCCCCAGCTCCACTCGGCCTCAGCACTGCTGCTGCTCTGCCTCCAGCCCCCTCGGGCTGCTTCTCTGGTTCCGCTTGCTGCTCTCTCCTTAACTCAGCCCTACTCCGGCCCAAGAAGCTCCATCTCACACGGAGGACGGGACCGCCCCCCGGCCTCCTGATTCCCTCATTGACCTGCCTGCCTTGTCAATCAGGCTAACCCGGGCCATTGGCCTCTCCTCATTGGCCCTGGGGACTGTCAGTCTCAGGGTCCTGATTTCTCATCCACCCTTCCCCTTTCTTTTGGTACTGGGAGAGAGCGAACCAGAAACCCCACTAAGTTTCAGTAAGGGGCCAACCGTCCCCTTACCTAGGCAAAGGACAGAATCCCACAGGCAAGTGGGACCAGAATAAATGGCCACGCTGGGGTACTGCCACTCACTACACAATTAGAGGTGGGGAAAAAGCCGGGGAAAGTTTTAAGTGTCATTTGAACACAGTTTGTGGCGTGCCAGCTCACGTTTCAGAGTAGAAGCCGTGTTAGTCTGTATCCGCAAAAAGAACAGGAGTACTTGTGGCACCTTAGAGACTAACAAATTTATTAGAGCATAAGCTTTCGTGGACTACAGCCCACTTCATCGGATGCA